CCCCGCCGGCCCTGGCGGCTCCTGCCACCGCGCCCGGCTCCTTCGCCCACCGGCCCCGGCCTCAGAACCAGCAAACCCCGCAAGTGGCGCAGCCCCAGCAGCCGGGCCACCGCCAGCCACCGGCCCCGGCGGCTGGAACCCCCCCGACAACGGGGCCCGCCATTCCCCCAAACCGTTCCCCCTTCGAATCGGGCCCCGGGATGGCGACTCGCCCTGCCGCCGTTGGTGGTGCCTCCTCGGCCAGTGTGGCGCCCTCGACTGCTGGTCCCCGCGCGGGCCCTCCCCCCGCTGTGCCTGCTACGCCGGGGCCCACGGTGCAACAGGCATTGCCTGCCGTTCGGCCGCCGCCCACCTGGGCAGCCATTCGCCGGCAGACGGCCGCGGTGCGCCTGGCCCCGGCCCTAGCCGGCGCGCTGGAGCCCCTCCCGACTCCCCTCTGTCCGTCGGATCTCCCGGCAGCTGGCCGGGCACAGGCGCCGGTCGACGCCGTTCTCAGCCGTCTGGGCCTGGACGAGCTGAGTCTTCTCACCGACGACCTGACGATGCTACTGGAGTCGGCGGACCCGAGCGGACCGGGGGTGGTCCTCCCGGCGCCGGGGACGGTGGATTCATCCTCGTCCGCTGCTGCCGCCGCCGCCGCCGCCGAGGCCGAGGCTCTGGACGCCTTCTTCGCGTCCGGCGGTCCCGGGCTCAACCCTGGCCTCGTTGCCCGCCTGGAGGCCGACGTCCAAACCATTCTTTCGTCCTTGTGAATCCCCCTCCCGCCTTCCCCTCGTCTGCACGCACGCACGCGCGCACACACACACACACATATATATATATATATGCGCATTCTCGTCCTCCTTTTGGAGGAAATACACGTTCCTCTGCCCTCGCTTCTCCTGCCTCCTCTTGTGCAGCAGACCGCCGCACAAGCAACCGAAAGAAAGAGGCAATTCCGTGACATGGGGTATATTCCGGATGGGCAAGGAGACCAGGGAGAGGCGGGGGGGGGGGACGCCCGCGGGGCATGGGGCGCCCGGGAAATGTGAAGAGAGGCGGTGGGGGGAAAGCACCAGGAGAGGAGGAGGCAGGGGCACGCATGCAGGACCGCATGTTTGGCCAACACTGTGCACTGGGTGGCACAAAAGCTCGGGGCACTCGCGCTACCGGCGGGAATCCGAGTCATCGGCTCCGGAAGTGCGGGACTCCGGACGCGGAGACCCCGGGTCCAGTGTGGCGGTCCCGAGCGCCGGCCAGGCCAGCATGGCCAGCGGCCCGCACCGGAGTAGCCCACGAGCCACATGCGCCGAGGTCAGGACGCCAGAGGCCCGAGTGCCAGCGTCATGGCTCCGGTCCGTGCGCAACTGCTCGACCGAGGCATCCACCAAGCGCCGAGAGGCCAGCAGGGCAGCCGTGGCCAGCAACCGAGCCGCCGCCGTGGAGAAGGGACGCCCGGCAGGGGCGCCGGGCGACTGGATCGGCTGCTGCCCGGCTGCGGCTGTCCCATCATCAACATGCATCGTGTGTCGGCGGTGAGTAAACCCGGTCCCCACCGGCAGGGAGAGCAAGGAGGGGAGGGGGGGCCATGGAAAGGGACATGCCGCGCACCTGACTGCTCGGCCGCAAGCGACCGGTCGCCGCAATGCGACGGCGACCCAAGGTCATTGCCTCGGGCGCCATCGGCATCGTCATCCAGGATGTCCACATCGAGATCCTCCTCGCCCGATCGATCGGCCGGCTCCTGGGCCAGGGCGATGGTTTGCGACTCGAGTTGGGCCAGCCGGGCCTCCAGGCCGTTCAGGCCCACCGGCAGCCAGGCATCCAACAGGGCCGAGGGGGGACACTGGTGCTTGGACGCGGCAGTGGAGCCGTGAGCCGGGAGATCCGGCAGCACCAGACCACACGCCTGGCAGAAGGTGTCCTGCCGGGTGGTCATCGGCTGGCGGGCCGGCATGGCCGGAGAACCGGCAGGGACCCCGGCCACCGGACCATGGGTGGTGGAGGAGTCGCGCCGAGTCGAGCCCGACACCCTTGGTCCCGGGGGCTTGCTTGCGCTGGCTGGGGGCCGGCCGCGTGCCCGAGTGGCACCCACGCCAGCCCTGGTCCCTGGGGCCGGGTCCAGCAAGCGCCGGTCCACCTCGATCAAATACTCCTTCTCCACAAGTAGACGACTCTTGCCGGTGCGCGTCGGCCGGGTGGCGATGCCGCATTTTTGCGGGTCCAACTTGCAGGACCACGCGCCGGCCGGAGGGGGGGGGGGGGGGGGGGGCAACTCAGTCAGTCGTGGGGACAAGCCCATTCTCGGGGCTGGCCCGCCATTGGCCCTGCCGCGTTTTTTGTGCCTACTCGCATCGTGCGACCACATGCACGCTCACGCACCTGCAGCATGTGGACGATGTCCACCGCCTTGCCAGGCTCATCGACCGAAGCCGAGGCAAGACTCAAACGCACCCGGGCCGGGAAGGCGCCCCAGCCGTAGCGCGTCAGTTTGAAGGGCGCCCGGCGGGTGGGGTTGGCCCGCAGCGGCCCGGTGTCCACGCCGGTCGCCTGGACTGGCATGGTCGAGCCCGGCGGAACAGGCAGCCGCGCACACTCGACAATGTCATCCGGTGCGAAGGACGGGTGCAGGAAAAACCGCACCGAGTCGATGAAGCCCAAGTCCGGGTCCTGGTCAGCGCAAGCGGCTTGGAGTTACTACTTTTTGTGACATGCACATCGACGGGGGCCGCGGGGGGGGGGGGGGGGGGGGGGTCCCAGAAACAGCGGAAAGAGGGCGGCATCTGCGGAAAGGGGACACCGGCAGCCGGCGCAAAGGGAGAGGGCAGGGGCGGCGCCGAGAAAAATACATGCCATACCTCGGGCGTGCCCCGGACGTAGAGCGTCCACTTGAAAAGCGGCAACCCGGCAGCCACCACCTGCGGGTCCACCGAGGTCAGACTCAGGTCGGCTGCCTCGGCTGGGGTCAGCTGCCGGGCCATGCTCCCGACGATCACCTTGCGCGTGGCGTAGAACCTCGATGGAACCGGCTCCTGAGCGTGACTGTCATGGTCCTCGCTCACCAGGACCGTCTCCGCCAGGGAGCCGCCCTCACTGCCGGGCGACTGCCCGGCGGACAGGGACAAGTCTCCGGTGGCCGGGGCGGCAGCGGCTGACACGCTGGTTGCCCGGTCGGCCCGCGCCCCAGCAGGACGCTCGGCCATGGCATCATCAGCCCCCTGGTCCTGGAGGAGCGGGTCGTAAGCAGACCCCAGCCGAGCCGGTGGGATGCTCTCATCGACATTGTGCGAAATCAGCATATTCGACCGTGAGTCTCCTCGACGCCGGGGAGCCGGGCGCGCCGCACGGCTCGGAGAGCCCGGGGCCGAAGCGGTGGCAGCCGATGCAGCCAGTCGCGCCGGTCGGGCCCGGCCAGCATCACCTCGAGGGGGGGCCGCCGCGGTGCCTGGGGCATCCCCCTCGGCAGCACGATCACCAGCAGGGGAGCCCCGGTCGCACGGCTTCTGGGGCCAAACATCGCCCGAGCTGCCGAGCGGCGCCGGGGAAGACCCCTCGGCCGGGCCACCGGGCCCGGGACTGGGGGAGGCATCGCGACTTGGGTCTTTGGACGGCCCACTCCTGGTGGCCCCGTCCACTGCATTCGCCGCGGCGGCGGCGGCGGCGGCGGCGGCAGCAGCGGCGGCGGCAGCAGCGGCGGCAGCGGCGGCTGCCCGATTGGCAAGGTGTCGGGATCGTGGGCTGAGGCTGACATGCGCCGAGGGCGTGGGCAGCGGAATCATCCCGGCTCCGGGGTTGCGGCTGAGCCTCGGCGTCTCAGGGGGTGCCGATGTCGGCCGCAGTGGAGCAGACCCCGGGGCCTGGCCCTTGGCAGCCTCCATCATCCCCTGGAAGGCCAGCGGATGGATGCCTGCCGGCGGAGACAGCAAGCAAGCCGAGGAGATCCGAGAGGCCGCGGCGGCTGCTGCCGAGGCGACATCCTCGTTGTCGATCGTCACAAGCTCGTCAAAAACATTGATCCGGGGCTGTTGAGCAGGACGCCCGCCGAGCGGAGATGGTCAGCGGAAAGGGATGCACGGGCCACGGCCGCATTTGGTGGGAGGCACGCACGCGCGGTTGGATCTTTTGCCGGATGCCCTCGATGTCACGCCGGAATTGAGATGTAGGAACAAGCCTACTCACCGTGGAGGGGAGTGAGAAATGGCATCAGGGGCTGCGGGGCCGGGCTTCGCAAAATGACCGGCCACAGGGCAGATCGGGAAAGAGGCCGGCAGGGGGGGAGGGGGGGGGGGGCGGGGGGGAAGAGACCACGCACAAGTCATTCGGGCTCGGGTTGGTCAAGCCACTGAAGGCCAGCTCGGCGTCGATCTCGGCCTCGGACAAACCGAGTGGAATGTCCCGATCGGCTGTGTCCCCGGAAAGGGACGTCAAAAAGGGAATGGCATCCGGGAGGGAGAGGTACGCCGCCGGACGCGCGCCATCTATCGAAGGGAGGGGGCAGGCGAAAGAGGGGTGAGTCCGGCTGGCAAGCGAAGTACGGAGGGCAAATCGGCGGCGGCCCGGGGGACGGGCGCGAAGGGGAGGGGGGGGGGGCCGCGCACCGGAGCCGATGGCGTAAGATTCGATGCGCGACAGCAGTTGCGCGCAGACGGCCGCCCGGCGTGCGCAGGCGAGACGCTCACGCCGCTTCAACACCCGCGCCATGGCGAAGTGGGAATGGACGGCAGCCAGGAGGGCCCGGTCGGTGCCGGGATCTGGTTGTTGGGTGGGGGAGCGGGGGGTGGGGGGGGGGCATTGGGAGGATAAAGACAGAACGTCATATGCTGTTAGCGCAACAGGGGAAAGGCCGGCAGGGACGGAATCCCGGGAGGAGCAACAGGCACATTACCATCACGAAGTCGCCATCGTGGACGAGCCCGCTGGCGTCCGGTCGGTCGATCACCAGGCGGTCGGGCGACCATTGAGCGCGCACGCGCACACGGCCGGCACAGAGTAGGGAAGGGGCGAGAGAGGCACAGGGAGGGAGCAGGAGGCAGGCGAAGGGAGAAGGGAGGCGGCGGGCGCGCAAGGGAAGGCGTGATGGAGGGAAAGGGGGCGAAGAAGGTCCATGCCCGAGGCCAGCCGGCGGCCGGCCGGCCGGCCATGGCGAGCCCCACTTTTGAACCCCGCCCGCCCGCCCCCCCAGGGAGGCCGCCGGGCTGGCGATCTAGCCGACAACGGTCCAACACTTACGGCGCCGCACCCCGGACCCAGATCGCAACCCCACGGCCGTGTCCGGATATGGGCGCCGGGGCATTTTGAATTTCCCGTACCCTCCCGTCCGGACGCCCGGAGGCCGGGGTTGCGGTTACGGCCGCCGGGGCGCAGTTTCCGCAAGGTCAATCGTCAGGCAAAGGATCCCTCCGTTGGCACATGTCTCCTGACGTGCACATGTGATGCTTTCGCGCGGGCGCGCGCGCCCCTCCCTCGTGGCAGGCGGGCCGTCGTCCCACTTCCCCCCGCTCCCGAACGCCACCGGTCCTGGTGGAGCCCGCGCGGGTTGTCACCCGGGGCGTTCTTCCGTCGGAGGGGGGGGGG